AAGATATAAGAAAAAACCCTTGTCTCCCAAAGTGTATTTAAACTTATTTTATTTCATTTTAAATTGTAAAAGCACACTAATCTGTAGAAAGTTAGAGAAATATTGTCATTTCTGTATTGATTTCCAAGAGTTCCCTCAAAGAAAAGATATGAAGAAGGCAAGATAAGAAAATAATGAACTACTGCATTATATTTAAAAATTGACTAATTAAAATACTGCTTATTATAATAAAAATCATGATAGTGTTAATTGAGTTTCTAATTATTCACATTGAATATTTGCAGAACAGACAAAAACTCAGGTACTCTGCCTCTTTTAAATAACAATGTAGAAGATTGTTGTGGGGTCTGTTTTATGTGAGAGATTTCCAGACCATGAAATAATAATAATGCATTGATCTGTTTGCATATGAGCTATGTCATTTAGTAAATATTGGATTGACTTTTTTTTGGTGATGAAAGCTGCTTGCATTAAGGAGTTACAAAAGATGCTGATTGCAAGATAAAAAAATTGAACTGAAAGTCTTGGAGTATGAATGTTGTGTGGATATTAATGCACATATTTGGTGTCAAAATTATGAATTAATGATGGGCTGGATTGAAGTGAAGGATCCTTCAGAGGTTCTAGCTTTTGTTGACCTTCCTGAAAAAGCATGGGGAACAAATTTAATGCAGCATGTCTTGAAGTTGCCATGGCCACTAGATATGGAAGACAATGTAATCTGTGGAGCAAGGGTCTGTGAAATGGAGCATCTCAGCCTTATTGCTGGCTTCCACTACCTGGCTGTGTAAACACTCATTTTTCTGATTCTCCCTTTTTCCGTTTGGGTAACTTGCCTATAGTTGTTGGGCTTTAATTAAAAGTGAATTGCAAAGCAAAAAAATGTTATTTTATGCTTTTGCTGTTCCTTTGTGATGTGCAATTATTGCCTAAGTTATCCCTTTCTGTTGCCTGCAAGTCCTATATGGGAAGTATCCTAAAACTTACTAAGGAAAGTGGAAATATTTTTTTGCACTGGGTTTTTTTACAGACAGAAATAGGGATGTGGAAGTAATGACTAAAATACCAAAGAGTGAAACGAAAAGTGTGGATAACCATGAAGTAAAATTCAAGTAAGCTTTGAGACTAATCACAAGGATAAAAATGAATAAACTTTTGTCAGGTCTAGGCTAATGGAGAGTTTTAAGGGAAGAAAAAGGTTTCAAAGTAGAAACAAGGGGGAAAAAAGACATATTCCACTTCCATTTGTTCTTTTCCAAAAATCATATAGGGGTGAAAAGGGAGATTATAGTGAAGGAATTGGCTAGTAGGTTGAAATTAGGGAAGTCTAAAGGAAGAAGTCAGCAAACAGTTATCGAGTAAAGGTCCCCAAGAGTCAGTCCTTAATCTGGTACTGTTTAATATCTTCATTAATGACTTGGATGATGGAATTGAGGGTACATTTAATAAAGTTGGAGGTGACTTTGGGTAGCAGACACTTTGGAGGATAGGGTTGAGATTCAGAATGAACTTGATATGTTGGAGAAATGGTTTGAAATGCATTTGATGAAGTTCAGTAAGGACAAGAGCAAAGTAAGGAACAATCAAATTACATATAGAAAATAGGGAACAATTAGCTAGGGTTCAGTACTGCAGAAAAGGACCTAGAAGCTAGAGAAGACTGCAAACTGATTTTGAGTCAACAGTATAGTATTGTTCAAAAAAAGCTAATAGCATGCATTAACAAGAGTATTGCACACAACTCAAGGGCCAAGTATAGTAAAAAATCCTGAGGCTGAATCGATTCAATCTTTGCAGGTTAGTCTAAGCTGTGTAGATTGAACCAATAAGCAAGTGAACAGACATTCTTTTTTTATTCCAGAAATGCAGCCACATGTGTGCAGTGACTCAGGCCATATCCCTGCTTGGCTGGAGCAGACAGCTTGGGCCAAAGTTACCCCATCCATCCTGCAAAGGCATAGGTGGGGAGGTTGTGGGGGAGGTGCAAAGCATCCTGGGATGCTGGGTAGAGGTGCATCAGTACATCAGTCCATATTGTATTGGCACCGGTAAAAGAAAAATTGACATTATTGGCAATCAGCTTTTTTTGGCTGCTGTGGCTGATTAATGTTGCTGATAAATGCCGTGTGCATGTGCTCAGCCACAGCATGCATGCAGCCAGGAGTGCAGCCTGGCAGTTTGGAGAGCAGTGTCCGACAGGTGAGTCTGTGGGGGGGGAAGGGGCGTAGGGGAGGGAAGGGACATGGTGGGGGCAGATTGAGGCCCCCATGGTGAGGGATGGAGTGGGGCTGGGGCGGGGGCAGGCACTACCCAGCCAGGGCAAGGTGCAGGGCAGAGCAGGTGGTTCATCCAGGAGGCACGGGGGTGGTGTCGCTTCTGTTGCAGTGCACACCTGTGGGGGAGGCATGTGCCCTCTGGATCTGTGTGTGGGGTGAAGGCTGGCTGCTGCTACTCACACTCAGGGGCTCTGCCGGGCTCTTCCTGGTGGCTGCACTCAGGGCGGGCAGTGCTGGGAGGGTGGCTATGGGGGGTGGAAAGGGCTAGAGCCACCGCTGTAGCCACCTGTAGCTTCCCCCCCAGTGCCACTGCCGCCCACCCCAAGTGCAGCCACTGGGAAGAGCCCGGTGCAGCCCGTGAGCGTGTAATGTCAGCCCACCCTTGCCCCATGCACATGCCCTCCATATCTCTCCCAGGGGTATGCGCAACAGTGGGAGCCTCCTCCCGTGGACCCTCGACAGGCCGCTGGCTCTGTCCTGTGCCCTGCCCCACCCAACCCCGCCTGGACAGCCCCTGCTCTAGCCCCAGCTCTAGCCCCACTCCCTCCCTCACCGTAGAGGCCTCAATCTGCTTCCCCCATACCCCTTCCCCACAACAGACTTAACAGCCAGACATAGCTCTCCAAGCAATCATATCAGCAATCAGATCGGTATTGGCAGATATGGCTGGTCAATAATCAGCCATCGGTATATGTCCAAAAAGTCTTTATCGGTGCACCCCTAATGCTGGGGGACTGTGAATTAACTTGAAACTGGAGGAGATCTGGCACAGAAGCTCAGTAGACCATTTTAAACTAAATCAGTTCAGTCTGATACTACATCTATCCAGGTTTATCTTAAACCGGTTTTGACCCTTTCGAATGTGGTTTATGTGCACTGAACTTCTGTTGTGTTACAGATTTGAACCAGTTTCTAACCACTTATACTGGTTTATGTATAACTTCTGTCCCTAGCCAAGGAGAGTGAGTCTTCTGTTTTGTTCAGCACTGGTGAGATTTAATCTGAAATACTATGTCTAGTTCTGGGCACCATATTTCAAGGAAGATATATATTAACTAGCCAATTGTCTGTCAAGAATGATGGGGGGGGGCAGGTGGGGATGGAGCGCCATGCCCCCCACATCCAGGCCCGCTCCCCACTTCCCTCCTGCTGCTTGGGGTCTGGGCCTGTTCCCCCTATCCTCCCCGCCACAGCGGCAGGTGGAGGGGAGGAGCATGCCTGGGCCTGATGCGGTGGAGGACCGGGCCTGAGGGTGGGGAGAAGACCCTTTATGTAGCTGAGAGCAGCAACTTTCAAGTGGCCTGAGGCATGCAGCCAGGTAGTTACTTTACCTGTGAGGCAGGTGCAGCATTGCACCTTAGAACTTGTCTACGTGTGAGCGAACCAAACTAAGTCAGCGAAGTTAATATGCACAGTGGTATGTAGACGCATCTTGAAGCACAGTGGTATGTAGACATCTATTCTGGAATAAATCTCTTATTTTGACATAAGTGGGTTTTATTAAGGATATTCTTACTCTGAAATAAGACTATGTACATACATACTGACATTCGCCAAGCTAGAGATATGAACTCTGGTTGAACTTGGTTGAAATATGAACTTGGTTTGAATTGCTTGTGTGTGTAGACAAGCCCAAGTGAGAACCTGGGTTTTAATGGTTCTCTAGCCCAGTGGTTCTAAACCTTTTTTGTACCAGGACCCATTTGTAAACATTGATGGCCAGTCCTGACCCAGTGCCCCTCATGCCGAAGCCCCCCACAAGTGTTTGGGGTGGGGGGTGGGTATGTGGGTGTGAGGCATGGGGGCCCCAAGCAGCCCCTCGCAGGCTGTAGCTCTGAAAGCCCACAAGGGAAGAACGAAGGTTTCTCGTGTTTTCTCCTTTAAAGGATAATCCATCTTTTAAATTTGTTGATCCATTTTTGAAGTTTGTTCTCGATCCTTTCGTATATTCGTGTGACCTACTTTTGGGTCGTGGCTCATGGGTTGAGAAATGCTGCTGGAGACCCCTTTTTTTAAAAAGAAAATAAGAGAAAACACAACTTTCTTTGACATGTTTTGCTGTGTCTGCTTTTGATTGGAATTTCTTTGGGAAAAAGTCAGCCATAGTCAAGTGTACAGGCAGTGCCAACATTTTGAGGCACAGCAGAAAGACAGAACTACAAAGTACCCTGGAGAGAAATGTTCACTGAAGGCTGCAGATAATGCGGGGAAGTACTGCTTTAACAAACTGAAAGCCCTACAACAAAGGAGAGGTTATGTACAACTTCAAATCAAAATGAATGGGTATAACTAAGCCACACCTCATGCATTAATGTGGCTCTAATAGCAATAAATTGCTGCACAGAAGGATTGACAAGATTGATGGGAAGGTATCTGTGTGACTTTTATTTTAAGTGGTCCCTGATATTAAATTTGCTTTTAGATTTAGATCTTAGAAAAAGAGTACAAGTAGCAAGCCATATGACATGTTTGCTTTGGTACAGTTTTGAATGACTGCAATTTCTGCATTACTAGATACTCTGAGTTTTTACTTTGTATTTTGATAATTTTTACTAAAATTGGACATAACTTAAATCTGCTGAATACAAATTGAAAAGGGAGGGCAATAACTGCACTTTCTGTGTGGTTTCTTTTTATCATCAGCAAATTACCGTCTGTTCCTCTTTTAACTTTGCAAACTGAAATTCAGGCACCGATCTGCTTTTTGTTTTTGTTTTTCAGATTGTTTCAAGAAGAAATCCAGAGGATGTCCAGGAGGTAACATGCTGACACTTGTGAAAATGCTTCTGTTCATGTTCTCATTACTAACTTTTGAAGTATCTTTGACTTAATTTACTAATTCCTGTGCATGTTGTCGTTGAAACTAAGCAAACTTTTTTCTGTGTTCATCTGTCTTTTGCCTTAATAGTTCAAAACAGCATAGCAAATGTAGCATGTTGCAACTCTGCTATCGGTGATTTGTAGGG